TATATATATATATATATATAACTCAAACAGAGCCTGCATATAAAGGCAGTGATATCAGGATGTGTCTTCTTTTTCGATTGACTTGAAGCCAAGTTTCACGTGTAGGGGATGGTAGAAATAGATACAAGACTGATACGACACGAGTCAGACTTACAACCTGTCCATCAACCTTTGAACTCTGTCTGGAGTGAGAAATGGATGGAGGCAAAGGAGTGATTGTGTGTAACTCACCTCTCCACACGCACGCACGCACACACGCACACACGCACACACACACACACACACACACACACACACACACACACACACACACACACAGTGATGAGTTGGAATTTGATGCACTTCAATCAATTTCGTGTATTTAATATCAAGAGTGCATTAAAGCACTCAGCGAGAAGGCGCAGCTTCCGGCATGGGACTCAACAATCCTGCCGCTCGTTTTCCAGCACTTTCTCCTCCCCGTCTGCCTGTGAGCCAGCTTTGTGAGGGTGCTCTGCAGCATCCTTTTCTTGTGAATCAACCGCCGCCTCCTCGTCCTCCAATCCCTTTGTAGAAATAAAAGACAAACTCCCACCTCTCCCTCCACTCTGGAAATACAGCACCGCAAACAACTCAGATTCTCTTAGGTTCTTAATGAATTATTCACACAGCTCGCCAAAATTCACCCGTTTCTTTCAAGCGCAAGAAATAATCACTGCAGTCAGCCCCGAAATGCATCGTGCTATAAATACACCTACCGTATAACCCCAGAAACACACTAACACGCACATCAGCATCAGCACCAGGCCCCCACCCCCGAGTGAAAAGCACATCAACTATGAGGACATACTGCAGGGTCCCTCTTGTGTGCACTTTGTATGCAAGGGAGGGACACCAGTTATGTCATCGCCTCCACACCATTTATGTGTCCTCGCTGATGCAACACGAAGGCTGCTCTTCACCGACATGCTCTCTGGGTGTTTGGGTCACATGAGCGGGCTGTACACATACTGGTGGGAGCTTCCCAAAACTGCAGCCACATGTCAGCTTTGCCAGATATGCTCCCATGTGCAAGGATGACAAATGGATTTGTCAGAGGGGGCATTAAAATGAAAAAAAGGCAAAATGAGGTCGCGAGTCCTCCTCTGTTGCGTTATGGGGAACTTCCACCCAAGCACTAGATGAAAAATTACACCACAGGATGCCTCGGGGTGGTCCATTGTCAACACGGCGTGTGTGAATGTAAATAAAGTGGGTGGGGAGGACACAAGGACAGCAAGGCTGGAGCAAAGCTGTGTCATGCAAGTACCCACCTTACACAGCTGAAAGTTTTCCGACACGAGTGTCTCCTGCACGTCGATCTCTTTGGGGGTAGGCGCTGTGGTGGGGGTCCCGGCGGCGCTGCCACACGACGGAGATCCAATAGTCCCGCCACCTGGAGAGGAGGTGGTCAACCCGTCCAACACCTTGCGAAACTTCTTCATTTCTGATGTCTTGGTTTTACGCTAATGTGGGGAAAGAGTGTGAAATGAGGCTTTCTGCAGATGCTCGATAAGAAGGTCTGCTCCTGCAGATGTGTCAGGCTCCTCCTCTGTCTTTAAGTGCAATTTAAAAAGTCACACAGGCACCTCATCCTGGCTGCTGAATGCGTCTGGACCACTCACCGCCTCACACCCGCTGCCGTTGTTGTTGTTGCAGATGCAGCTCGCCTATCGCCCAAACTTCACACCGCTTCTTTAGATCCTAAAGTAGGATCCACGCGGCATGGAGGAACATCCCACACATCAGTAACAGTCACGGAGACGCGCAGCCATGCTCCGATGTGAGTGGAAGACAAAAAGAACTCGGTGCAGGGAGGATCCACTTCTTTAGGGAGGAAAAAAAAACTGACACTTTTAACAGTGTAGGAGCAACACGAGTCCACACAATCCACAGTAAGACATAGACAAATGCTTGGATGTGTGGATGGATGCAATTGCTTGTCGCTTCAGCCCAGATACACGCAGTGAGACTGGAGCTGTCCACGGTGCTGAAAACATTCGACAAGCCAGGCACCGCCCCCTTCTCGCTTTGCCTCTGTCTTGCTCTCTCTCTCTCCAGCCTTCTTCCACTCCTCAATCGCTAATGGAAATTGCAATAGAAAAACCTCGGTTGCTGCTTTGTTTGAGAAAGGGGAATGCATAGCATTAATAGAATTACTAAATATTCTTGGGGAAAAAAAAGCTTCCGTCTGTTTATTGCCTCTCTCACTTGAAGTTTACTGTCAAACTAAACATCAAACAAAGACGATTACACACTGTGTTTTTCAGCCATATAGCTTTGCCTTTCGTCCACTAGCTTAAGGCTAATGCTAACATAGGCAATGGTTAGCATCTGTGTAGTTGTGCTGTAACCCATTCATTTCAACAAAGAAAGATCATTTGAGATGTTCTGAGTCAGAAGGACAGTCAAGGAACGAATTTAAGGTATCTATTAGTTCGCACCCATGATAAAAGTGAATATGCTTTCTAATTTAATGTCATTTAAATAGAGCAATAAAATGCTCAGCTAAACTTATTTTATCGATTTGGTTAATTTATCAGGTTTTTCCCTGGGTGTGTTCTGTCATTTGTGTAATATAATGCTTACTTTTTTTATTATTGATACAGGGAGTACTCTGGTTACAATAGTCCCAACCTATACAATGAAGGAACTGTTTTTTTTTTTTCGTATGAAAGTGTACTATATATTACTACTACTCATTTTTTATGGCCAGATGGATGTACTTGCATAATCCCGATACAGAAATTCCGGCCAATTAAGTCCTGCCGCAGATAGCGAAGAATTGCAAGTGACTCCTCTCACCAAAAAAATGTTTTATTGCTTGTAGATGCCACAAGATGGTGTGATAGCATTACTTTTCAATAAGACAGATTTGACCACTCTAGTGGTGCTTGCCCAAATAGGAGCTCCCTACCCTCAATTCAACATAGTTCTTTCACACCAAGTTACCACAAGATGACACCAAAGTAATACTTTTCTATTAGATATGGCTTTGGCACCATAGTGTGTCATTTCAAAAGGAACATTAAAACTGTATATATACTGTACTGCTACAGTAATTGGCTTTCTGGTCCAGTCTGTATCACACAAATTAGATTATGTGAAATAAAATTGTGGTTTCCCCTTTAAAAAAGTTGCATAGTTTACAATTCAGTTGAATAGCATGGAAAGGGCCCTTTCTGTCGCCGTCCATGTGACAAAATCTAAAAAAAAATTAAATTAAAAAAAAAATGGCTGTACTCCAGGTCTGCCGATCTCCACTGGCGTTTAAGAATTTTTTTAAACTTTATTTTAATATTTTACAGTGTACTGGCAAGGCAAGGCCTTTAATCGGAATGTGAGAGGTGCATAGCTATTAACACATCACATTGATGCAAGGGTCTTTAGGCTACAAGAACACGCTAAAAGTCTCCTCAGATGAAGAGCTTCTCTGAAGATTACCCTTAGGGGCACTTGCAGTTTCAAACACATTTGTAGCGCTATGTGTGTTCATATTGTTCAATTTAGCATGCGATTGAGTCTAGCTCATTCATTGCATGTATGATGCAGTTTTTATTATGTTTTGTTTTGTTTTTTTTTTGTTTGTTTTTTTGATGGGTGGGTTATGGAGTAGGAAATACACAAAGAATACTGACAGACATCAGCTGATGAATGTGAGTAAACCTCAGTAAATTTCCCCTGTGGGTCGATTAGTCCTATAATTGCGGTAGCTGAGACAATCAGCACGGTCAAGCTGGTTTGAGACCATTCTTAAATATTTTAACAGACAGTCATTAAAGGCATAAAAGAAAACCACATGAGTGATTTTTGCACATACTCATCCATTAACGAGGCCACAAACATACATCATATGGGCAGAGCCTCTTTTCTTTTCAGTGTAAGTGACAGGATTGTTTTTCAACCCGTTCAGGACATTGAAGTTCCCTTTCTAGTTCAAAATATAATCCGGAACAATCAGGTGAGAAAAGAACACATCTTAGCGCCTGTTTTATTGTATTTCTATTTTGTTGTTGTAAGTGACAGTGCCTGCATAAAAGGTAATGACAAGACTGATATGGAATGTGACAGAGATGACAATGCAGTACTTTTTGGCAGCATCCCTGCATGATGCAAGATCAACCTAAAAGGTCAAAATGAATTCGATGTATAAATATGTAAAGCGCAGTGTGCAAATTGAAACATTCATCACATTTATGAGATACCGCTGGGTATAAAATGTCAAGAATCCAATTTATAAGTGCAGAGGAAGAATAAAACTATTCAAATGAAATCAGGTATCATAATTACTTCATTTGAACGCTCAGGACGAGTGATATTACGTAAGCTTTTACATCACCAGTCTCTGCCCTCTGGCAATGTTAGATGTTTTTCATTCTGAGCATGGCACACATGCCCCGTGTGACCTACTCTGCAATCTGATTCAGATATGATGATAAAAAGTCAACACTGACAAGATCACATTGATGCAAAATCCATTTCAAGCAGAGCTCGCAACGGTTATTTTGTTGTCCTGTCTTTTGGAACCATCCAATGATACATCCTAGGGAAAGTAGGGCATGAAAAATGTGTCTACTATTGTGTAAGAAAGAAAAAGACATTAACACCCTTGCTCGGTCTAAAGACTTGGATGTTGAATGCGCGAATTAAAAGATGTTTTGTTTTGACAGGTAGATGATAATTAACAATGTAGGTCAGATAGTCTATTGAAAATGTCGCACTCAGAAGTACAATGAAGGCATATTCAGACAACCAACATTTTTCCTTTTTTCTTCATGAAAACTAGTGCCTAGTGCAGCGGAATCGCCCAATGCGTTTGACAGAAGAAACCATCCATCCAACCATCCATTTTCGAACCGGCTCTTCCTCACAGGCGTGCTGGAGCCTATCCCAGCTGTCTTTGGGCATTAGGTGGGGTACACCCTGAACTGGTTGCCAGCCCATCGCAGGGCACACATAGATGAACAACCATTCGCGCTCACACTCACACCTCAGGAAAATTTAGAGTGTTCCATTAAACCCACGGAGAAAACCCAGGGGGAGAACATGCAAACTCTACACAGGAAGGCCGGAGCCGGAATCGAACCCTGCACTTCTGCACTGTGAGACAGACGTGCTAACCAGTCAACTGCCGTGCAGCTCTACGGAAGAAACCATGGTTTGATTTGTGACAATTTTGAAGCCTCATTTTGCATATTTGTCGATTTTTTTAAGCATGCACATTTGACGGGGTTGTTCATATATTCTCTGTAGTGTGTCAAATATTTATTTTGACTTTCGAGGGACTTTCAGGTAAATTATTACAGACAGTGTCATGGAATTGTCGTGAAATATTCATATAGGATTCAGATGATTGCTGATGAGTAAGGTCGAACTCGTACGCACCAAACTATGATTACAAGGGCATACTTTGCTCAAATAAAAATTGTTGTCGACACTTGTTTAGGGTCCCTCTTTTCTTATATTTAGATGTCAGAAAACGAGAATGGTTGGATTCTTCTCTTTTGAATGTTTGTCTTTGTGAAAAGCCTCTTCTTGACTTTGGGAGTGGCTGTAGATACTAAATGGGTCCATTAAATTTTTGATGGGGGGCAGGGCTGACCTTTGGTTTACCTGTGGACCACAAGCTGGGTTTTTAAATGATTGATATCTTAGCCCGCATGCAGCATTTTCATGTTTTTAGTTAGCAATTTTACCAAGTTGGGTCATACAGTTTAGTAGTCAATGAGCTCAGAAAATTAGCTGCATTTAGGAAGGTGTGCAGAAATCATCGGCAAATTCAAACACCATTCATGTACAAGTTCAGTGCGACCACCAATCAATCGCTTTTGGCCAGTTCATACCCGTAAGGTGATTTGATACAAAGAGAAACAAAGTGGTGTCAGAGAAGTTGTTTTTAATCAATTTCCAATTAAGAATTCCTTCCTGTCGATGGAGAGCCACTCGTAATCGAGTCAAGGTTGGAGAAAGTGAGACTGTGATGTTTCAGGGCCGCATCATTTCCATATCAATGAGCTGGCAAATAAACGATTGATTTTGGTGGGGGGGGATTCATTACTGACCAGCAGATGAAAACAAGAGATCTGTCTAATTTTTTCTCTCTAATTCTCATTTCAAAGCCTGGGTGCCTTGATAGAAGGTGCTCTTTGAATCAAAACCGAACACAAATGGGATGTGACTAATAGGAAGCAAGAGCTGAATCGTCTTTCATCAAAGCTGACCACCCTTTAGAGCAAAGGATACAGTACGGAAGTGAGTGCATTTCTCCTAACGAATGCTTAACAGCCAATAGGACATCTTCTTATCTCGGATTTTTATGCCGGGACCATGTCCTCAATTGCCAAGGCTGCCCTTTGTCATCGATTCTGTTCATAACCTTTACGGACAATTTCTACACGCAGTCGAGGATGATGTGGTACTGATGGCTTCTTGGAGCCGTGATCCAGAACTCTCAATGGAGCAGTTCGCAGCCAAGTGTGAAACGGTTGGAATGAAAATCAGCACTTCCAAATCTGAGACCCTGGTCCTCAGTCGGAAAAGGGTGGAGTGCCCTCTCCAGGTCAGGGATGAGATCCTGCCCCAAGTGGAGGAGTTTAAGTATCTTGGGGGCTTGTTCACAAGTGAGGGTTGGACAGAGCGGTAGATCGGCAGACGGACTCTGTCTCGGTCTGTTGAGGTGAAGCTTTCAATTTACCATTCGATCTACACTCCTACTCTCACTTATAATCATGACCGAAAGAACAAGATTCCCAATAACAGCATCTGAAATGGGTTTCCCCCGCAATGTGTCCGGGCTCTCCCTTAGAGATAGGGTCAGAAGCTCGGTCATCCGGGAGGGACTCAGAGTCGAGCTGCACATTGAGAGGCGCCAGATGAGGTGGCTCGGGCACCTGATTAGGATGCCTACTAGATGCCTCCCTGGTGAAGTGTTTCGGGCTTGTCCCACTGGCAGGAAGCCCCCGGGCCAACCCAGGACATGCTTGGAGAG